AAAAATGAAAAGAAGCAGGAACGCAGGAAGCGTTAAAGTGGTGCGATATTTTAAGGCGCGTAGTTGCGAAGTTAGAAGACTTCGTTGGGAGAACAGCTGCGGTGTTCAATTGGAAGATTCTTCCCGCGTCATTTCAACGCGGTTTTATTACAGGCCCATTGCAGGCAAATATTTTTAAGCGCATGCGTTTATACTCAGGTACTGTTCCCTTGGCTTGGGAAGTTCCTGTGCCTGAAATGCCAGAAGCATACGAAAGTTCAAAGTTCAGAAGTGACAATATCATCTGTTGACGGGCCCATACATGATATCAGCAATTTTTAACAACTTAAATGGGAAAGAGATCTGTCATTTAAAAAATTTTATCAACAAATTGTTAGAGTTAATCCGCATATAAATTTGCAAGAAAACATTAAATCATTTGTTTATAAGTGCGGGATGTTTTTTAGAATTAACTATTTAAATCAGAAATTAAAGGCGAAAAAATATTGGGCGAATAAAAACAAATAAATTGTTTAAAATAGTTTAATAAAACACCGTTCATTTTATTTGCGTGGTTTCCTTTATGAGGCATTCGTTTCTGTCCATATGTATATGTGCATATAAAATGGCAATGCAATTAAAATTCTTTGAAGGTATATTGAAGTAATTCTTAAAATTAGTATACTTACATATCTTTGTTCATATGGAAAAGTAGCTTATGTCGAAAGGCTAGCTTTAGTATAAATCGGCATTCGCAGCATACAATTGCGAATGACTCACTGGCGCTAACAGTTACAACTTTTATTAAAAAAATCACTCTTTAACAATTATTTTTTTCCTTTTATTTAATTACTCTTTAAATAACCGTTATTTCTGAGTTTTATTTTATAAATCGAAAATAACAATTATTTTTGATTTTTATTTAAATAATCTGCAAATAATAGTTATTTTTGATTTTTAAATTATATGTCTTAAATAACAGTTATTGAAGACTTTTATTTATAAAAGTCATAAATAAAAATCAGTCACTGATCTTTTTTTTTTCAATCATACTTATAAAAGTCATTTGAATAAGTCGTAGTAAACTTTTGTTTTCAACACCTTATTAACTGCGAAAAATGTTATTGACTTTTATACGACGAACATTTCCTTCATAGCGAATTTTTTCATGACAGTTTTCATCAATAACTGTTATGTTCGGTCCCTGGTTCCGATACTAACAAGTCAATATTCTTGTTAAGTCTCATCAAAAATTCCTTGCCGTTGAAAGAATAAATAGAATTCCGCATTATACTAAAGTCAGCCTTACCACAAAAAAATTTGGCTTTATCTGCAGAATTACATGAAATATTATTATATCTAACCCTTTAAGAAATTTAGATATTAGGATATTGCTTTGATTTGGATCCTATTTATTGGAAATATGAACAAAGGAATGATTAAGAAGTAGCTTATGGTCAATGAAAGCACCATGGAAGCATAAACTTATTTCTGATAACGCTTGATGTAGTCACGAAGTCAAAATGTCCTAATTCTTGGAGCTCCTTGTTATAGTTTATAGAGAGATAAACAACTCGCTCTACTGCTGCTGGTGCGTTTCGCTCAGATTGGGCACATCCGTCCCGAGGCTGAAAATTGTCTGCCGAAAAGTTATTGGAACAAACAAACAACACCTTTGTGAAGTTACCATGTACTTGACCCGAAATATTCAGCTAATCGTACTAAATAATAGTGAAAATAATTGCATAAACAAATAGATTCTCTATGTGCATTACCTGTAATATGAGCAATTCACTTGCCTTCCGTTTTATATATGTATTACGAGCTTTTACCCGCCGGTTTCACCCCAAGTCTTTAAACAAATATGAAAAATACTTTATGTAAAGATGTTATGCTCTCTGCTCTAACTATAGCAGCATACGGTAGGACAGCTGTAAGCTTGCGTGTTATGGAATAAAATGCAATAATAATTTTTTGGAAAGTTATGACTGTGAGTTATGCCACGTCCCCTACTACAAAGTCATTTAAATATACCTTACTATAAGCATCTACCATAGATTTGTCTGCCTACCAAATTTCAAGTTCATGTGACTTATGGTTCCGAAGTTATAGTCGATTAAAAATTTGCAGTCCTATGGGAGGTGCCACGCCTTCTCGCAAAATTGACACCATATTTGCAAACAAAACCATACCTATAACCTTCCCGGGGTAAAAACAAATAAGTGTGCAAAGTTTCGTGCGATTCCGTATAGTGGTTCAAAAGTTATAAGGTAATAAACAAACAGACATTCACATTTATATGTATAGAAGATTTTGGAAATAAACCACTCGCTGTAAAATGATGCTCAAAATATATTTATTCAAATAATTTTTGTAATTATTTTCGAAATAATTTTTTATTTTTTATGTAAAAACCCACTTTTTAAATATGGTAGCTTCAATTTGAATGAAAATGTCAAAAGCACAGTTTACGTCAAATGGGAGCAATGGCGAATAAGAAGAAGAAGTGAAACTACCTTTTAATATTTATATCATGGGCAGTTCGGAATATGCGCTCTCTGGGAAGACAATACCTGTAATTATTGTACCATGATCGTATATTATATTTAAAAAACCAAATTTTTTTGGTCTTTGTCACTTTCATAAATGCCTATGGTACAATAATTACAGGTATTGTCTTCCCAAAATAAAAATACGCACATTCGTTTGTCGCATTTTTGGTTTGTCCATAGCTAAACGTTTGGTAATCTTGACTTATGCCAAAGTTTCAAGTTTGGCATCAGTAATGAAAACGGAATGTCAATCACCTGACACCAAACTTAGACGACAGACAGTCGTTGGCATACATTGCGATATCTGCATTTGGTCAGTTTTGGTGATGTAATGAAAACGCTTTTGACACCAAATGAACAGCTGTTAGTTGAGGCAGATTTTGATGTCAGTAATTTTGGCATAATGAAAACCAAGCATTATGCGATTGACAAACGAGCTCGATTTTTTTTTTAAACAGCCTTTATTTGCTTTGACTCGTGCATTTTCCTCTTTAAAATGCGCATAAGCGGCCGAACAAATGCACGAAACTTTTAGGAATAAACTCGGATCCGGGGAATTTTCGATGACAACACTGGTAAAAACGGCCAGCTGTTGTCTTTTGTAGCAAACAAAGCAGGCTAGTTTTGCGTCCGCGGTAGCCGAGTGGTAAGAGTTGCGGGCTACAAGCCTGTAGCTGCCAGGTTCGATCCTCGGTTGGAGCGATTGCGAAAAATTTGTTTGTTTTTAGTATTTATTTTATATATATATTTTATATCACATTTTTTTATTTCACTATTAGTTAATTTAAATTTTTGGAGTTGAAATTGATTGAAAAGTCAACAACAACAAACCGAAAGCAACGTAAAAAAATATAGAATTTATAAAAATGAATGAAAACGATGTAAATGAAAATTCTACTGGCCGTGGGACCCGAACCCACGACTTTGCGGCTCGTTTATCCGCATTACTGCCGCCTGTAAGGGTAAAATTATTATGTGCGTATGTGTGCCAGCCTGTATGCATATGCTTTGCCGTCTGTCACGGCTTTTCGATACAGTTTTTAGATTATAAAGCATCTGAAATGTTACTTATTTTTTATGAATTTATTTGTATAACTGGGATGTGTAACTATTTAGATCAATAAATACAATTCACTCTGAGTTAATATTTACTTAAATATTTATCGAAGTGCCGATTGTTCCTTTTTTATATTTTTAGTACATTCGATGCATCGAAAATATCGATTTTTGTTGCGATACATCGATATGCATCGATGGAGGATTTCGGAGCATTATATCGAAAAAACAGGGATGTGTTTTTTTGACTGACATCCCTAAGGGAAATGTAGGCCACACACAGTGATGCCAAATTTAGTCTGAAAGAAGAAAGTTGTAGAGTTGCTTTTTTCAAATAAAGGCGAAATTCGATTTTTTCTAGGAAAATTTGATTTTATCCGAATTTTAGCACTAAAATGTAATATATCCAAAATTCCCCACTTTGGAGCAAAAGTTCGATTAAAGGCCGAGTCTCAAAGCTTCGAATGACAAATTTACCCATCCCTAGTTCGTAGGTTTCTCTTAATTTTTTTGTCGGTAAAAAATTATAATTAAAAAAAATTTCATGACACAAGGGAAGATTTAAACCAGTACTTATGAAAACAAAAGAGTATAAATTTGAATTTAAGTTATTGACGGTGTATTTGCCCTCAAACTTTTATTCGTACGCTACTCGTAACGCTAATAAAGTTAGAAGGACGAAATTCGAGGATATGGTCATATGTATATTAATCCTTAACATATAATTTATTCAAATACAAAATATCGAAAATCTTTTAGAATATTCAGGGTTACAATATTAAAAGGACATTTCCAATACCTATTCGTCCTTGTGTACCAAAAAATTTAATATTTTCCAAATTCTATAGAATTTTCTCTTTTATTTATTTGTTGCTTTCGAATTATTCATATTCTTGGAGTTTCAAATTCGTAAAAAAAAAATTCGTCATAGAGCACTAAATTTTATTTTTGATGCAGAAACGTTCCAAGAGCATCTAGATGGATGGACTAAATTTGAAAAAAAAAACGCAAACTAAAAGTGCTAAATTTAATTTTCCATTTATCAGAAAGAAGATTAGAATCCTAGACTGCCCACATTCCCCAAATTTTTCTATACATCGCATTTAACATAAATATTTTTGTTTCTAGTGCGATTGGTGGCAAGCAATCCAAAATGGAGGTTATGGAGCTCTCTGATTTGCACCATCCCAATTGCAAAATAAACCGTAAAGTAAATAGTGGTGCTGAATTAGGAGGAATCGGCGACCAATGCAGGCGAGAGAGTGAGTCATCGGATTCGATATTGCTATCACCCGAAGCTAGCAAAGCCACCGAAGCAGTGGAATTTATAGCTGAGCATTTGCGAAACGAGGATCTCTACATTCAAGTAAGTTTTGTCGGCCGAGTTTAAAGCGCAGTTAGTCAACGACGTAGCGTAAGCGTAGGTTGACGTACGTAGCAGCATATCAAATTTACTGTTGATAGAGAGAGAGAGAAGCAACGGCAACGTCCCCACCATGCGGTGGTGAGTTTTCGTTAACACGCGAATTCCATAAGGTAGCTCGTGTCTGCGTCCACCTACGTCTACGTTACGTAGTTGACTGTTTGAGCTTTTAACTTTTCACTTCCAACTGGTTTGGTTTTTTTTTTGCAGACCCGCGAGGACTGGAAATATGTGGCCATGGTAATTGATCGTCTTCAACTATACATCTTTTTCATTGTTACCACTGCCGGCACAGTAGGTATACTAATGGATGCGCCACATATATTCGAGTATGTAGACCAAGACCGCATCATCGAAATTTATAGAGGAAAGTAGACGAGAAATTCATCACAAGAAAAAAAAAGCAAAATGCAATGCAAAAATTCATAATTGACAGTGCGGGTGTTTGCACTAATCCGTTGTTAGTGAATAAGCGATTAAGCAAATCATATTCATTGGAATCAAATACACGTACATAAGTACGAAAGTAATAAAAGGCCAATTAAAAAAATATTTCCAAGCTACTATTGCTCAGCAAGCGACAACTCATACCTAGTTTAAATTATTAGAATTGATTAATGTTTGTTTTGTAAATTTACGTTCAATGACAGTTAACAAGTTTATAATGTAAGTGCAATGCTTCAGAGTGTAAGTTGAATTTGTTACATATTTTAATAGATGCATATACATATGCACACAATGCAGATGAATTTTCGGACTGTAGGTTTAACGAATTATAGTAAACTAGCAATTACCCGGCGTGCTTCGCTGCGCCATAAATGTATTTTTGTGTTGTAACCCTCTCCCAAAACTCGTATGACCTCATTTATACAATATATTTAAAGAGTTGGTTGGTTGGGAGTAAATTACAAATTCAAGGGGAATAATGCAAATGGAAAGATTTCTCAGCAGTTTAGCGGTTTGAGAATAAAAACAAAAACAAAGATACCTAGAGGTACAGGCAAAAACGAAGATCAAAGTAAATTTAAACACTTTAAGGTAAAGGTGAAGAGGAATATGCAAAAATAAAGATAAATATGAAGAAAAGGATGAGGATGAAGGTCGATATTGTTATCGATATAAAACTCGATATTTTTATCGATACAATAATCGATATTGCTATCGATAAAATAATCGATATTGTTATCGATACTGTTATTGCTTAAATAACCGCTATTGTTATCGATATAATAATCAATATAATAATCGATATTGTTATCGATACAATAATGGATATTGTTATAGGTACAATAACACAGGCCAACAAAAATGAAAAAAAAAATGTTGGTGCGACAAATGTTAAAGCTATTTTTGATATACTTTTTTGTGCTGATTACGAATCCGTAAGTACAAAGGATCCAACACGTACAGGTTTTGAGAAAATCGAGGTCAAAGTGTTAAAGTATTCTTTTCGAATAAATGTAGCAAATCGATTGAATTAAATCTGGAAAAAAACACACAATGTTGTTGTCAATGTTTTTTAATAATTGTAAACATTCGCCAGCTGTTTCTGTTTATTTATTAGTGAAAGGCAGGACTGCCAATCTTGCGGCAAAACAATAATAAAAATCCAAAAAAACACGTAAAGCCAAACAGAATTAATTGCAAAACGTGCAATGATACACACATTAAATTTCTTATGTGCACCCTCCACACAGACCCCAATCACCCCTGAAAATTTCATTGAAATCGGGCAAGCCGTCTAGGAATGATAGAAATCTCTTATGTGCACCCTCCACACAGACCCCAATCACCCCTGAAAATTTC